TCTTATTTATGACAAGCCTTTTCTTGAAGATTTGCAAACAATTCTGCAAGGATTTAAAGAGTCTACTAAGCAGTTTTATTTGAAAAGAAAATCTCTCAAATATCTAAATATCTCTTGCTTTTTATTATTTTGGCTTCCGAGTTTTGCTCCAAAAGAAGGGGAGGAATTCCTGAGAGACTGACTATATGGTCTCCAAGGTTCCTACCAGCTCTAAAAGTCTGTCCTGTGAAAATAGATTGATGAAGATAATGCCCAAGAAAGATTTTATTGCAAAGTCACTTCTGTCTGACTCGGGTCTTACAACTTAAGGTTTGAACTAAGGATATTTTAAAGTCAAATAAGAATGTTCCTGCATTATGCATAAATTGATTAACCAGATTTCTTTATCTCCTAAAAACATTTCTCCTAAGACTTTGAAGATACATTTTCTTAAAATAGACTTGCTTTTTTTTGTTTTATTTTCCTTTTTCCCCTCTTACATTTTCTTATAATTATATTCTTCGTGGTGGTTCAAATGTATTCCTCCTGAAATATTAAAACCTCAGCTTCTTACCACCTCCTTGGCACTATTCTAGCATGCTCTTAAATGGGTTTCATCATTCATCTGCAATGAGCCATATTATTTCATTTTAAACAATTAGGCCTGACACCCATATTCAAGGAAAATTAATCGATATTTTACTCAGAATTACTTGAATTTTTCCTTTTTATTCCTGTTTCTATAATCCAGATAAGACTTCATTTTTTAAGAAAGTATGTTTTTATTGATTTTAGAAACAGAAGGAGGGAGAAAAATATTGATTGGCTGCCTCCTGCAAGCCCCTGGAGATCAATGCCTGGGATGCTGCTCAATCAACTGAGCCACACCTGCCAGGCAACACATTTCTAAAGAAAAGCTACCAATCTACACACAGAATAGTAGCAAACAAGATCAACCTTGGGAAAACAGGTAAGAAAGTAAACCATAAACAAATAATCCCTCAATAAGAGGTGTATTAGTCCAAAATAAGTTTTTGCTACATTCCTGGCTTTAATCCCCCTAAAACAATGATATTTCATTTAACAACTAAATATCCATATTATAAAGTCCATACACACTCGATAAGCAGAACAGCAGTTATTCCTTCAGTATGCGAGTCGCAATACTTCCAACAACCATACTAACAGCTTTCAAACAAGATCTAGTCTCTCTGAGTTTTAGGAACACACACACTCCACTCTGAATCCCACAGTCACTATTAGTTTCTGCCTGTCTTCTCTTATATTCACAACCACATATGGGAAAAGCCACCAGGGCCATAGATGCTGCACCCTCTCACCTTTAGCTTGTGCCTCAGTCCACCTCAGTTTTCCTGTCGATCCCACTTCTTCAGTGAAAGTGCACATCCAAAGGGCTGCCATGTTGCCAAAAGCTAGTGGAAAACTTTTGCTCTCCTGACTTCCCACCTCTTCTCTGGCTTCGTCTTTTCCACCTAACTTTTAATGCCTCATCTCTTCAGAGGCAAATGTTTCTCATTCTCCACTCTCTCCCTCAGTGGTCTCCTTCCCTCATGTGGTTTTCTTACGCAAACTCCTCCTTACCTTACCGTTGGCTTCATACTTTTTTTCTGAGCTCCAGGTACAAATATACAACTCCTTAATTAACATCTCAAGTTGGATGTTTCATAATAACTAACCAGCTAACTAGCTCCTAGGATCGGCATCCCCCTTACCTGCTTCTTCTTTGTCGTTCCATATTTTGTTGCTCCTAGAGGACATGTGAAGTCATCCTTGATTCCTAACTATTCCATTCCAAACAGTGATCAGGTGCTGCTCATTCCACCTCCAAAAGTCTCACACGTGTTTATTGTTTTCTCTGTTTTCTGCCCTCCATTCACCTGACCATCATCTCTCCCCCTGACATTTGGTCCTAGTAAATTGTCTCCTCATATCCATTCTCCATATATTAGTGAAAATAATATTTCAAAAATTCAAATCAGGTCATGCTACCAGTTTAAAAGCTTTCTATATCTGCCCATTAGGATTTAGAATATTACTACACAATCCCCATGATTGAGAAAAGGCTTGCCCAGCCCGCCCTAACTTGTACCTTTCCTCCTCACTCCATACATGGCCGGAAAACTGATTTTCTTTCAGTTCTTCAGTGGTGCCATGTTCTTTGTCAATGCAGAGTCTTTGTCTTTGCTGTGCCTATCGTCTCCCAGGAGCTAGTGAACACTTTCTCTTCCTTCAGACCACAGTTAAACATTACTCTCTGCATTCCTCTCAACTCCCTGGACCTGGTTATGGGTACTCATTATAGCACCCCCCTAGCATCCCATATTTCTTCTTTACACTAGTAACACTCAACACAAACATAGTTAAGTAACTCTTTGTATAATTTTTGTTTAATTTCCATGTGTGATGGGATATTTTAAGATATTCATTGATTCCCACCCCCCCAAGATATTTTGTTATGCTTTGGTTCCCCCACATCAGGCTACCAGACCATGAGGCATCTAAAGGGGTGATTATTACAGTAAAAAATAGATAAACAAGAGTCAAATTCTTGTCTCTTGAGTTTTAAAGGCCAAAACTTTAATATACAGTCATCAGCCATGCAGTTCATCCCACCCAACATACCAGCCTGGAAGACTAACCATTCCAAGACAGGGGAAGAACAGAGCCAATGGGATGCATTAGATCAGTGATGGCGAACCTATGACACACGTGTCAGAGGTGACACGCGAACTCATTTTTTGGTTGATTTTTCTTTGTTAAATGGCATTTAAATATATAAAATAAATATCAAAAATATAAATCTTTGTTTTACTATGGTTTCAAATATCAAAAAATTTCTATATGTGACACGGCACCAGAGTTAAGTTAGGGTTTTCAAAATGCTGACACGCCGAGCTCAAAAGGTTCGCCATCACTGCATTAGATGTTGGTAGAGCCCTATTCTGAGATGTGAGGAGACAAAATGGGAGGACTTCTAGATGGTTTGGGGAATCTGAGGGTAGTCTGAGATAACTAGCATGATGAACAAATTCCATGTGAATAAAGATAGAACTCTTAGGGTAAAATATATTTTCATGAAAAGTCCTTTTCTGAGTATTGTAAAGAACACAGAAATAGAAAACATTTTGAAAATTAAATAGTTGCATTTGAGCCATGGTAAATAATAGCATTATAACAAGTGGCACAATTAAAAGAGGGTTTTTTAATCCTTTTTTGCTACATATAATTAATCATATGTAATATATTTTCACATGTAATTATACAATTATTGCATACAGTAATACAAATAAATATTATTAAAGGGTACAATATAGAAATACATATTTTAGAGATGAAAATCTCACTGGGTAACTTCAAAGTATACTAATCTAGCTAAATGGCTTTGTTTCTCACTGTTTGAATTTATAATTAAATGTATATTTTAAGAAGATTTAAAAATAGACTTTTAAAAAGCTATAATATATTTTATTCTGAAAAACATGTGGGCCATATGCTTTAAACATAATTTAGTTAATAAGCTACTTTATGTTTCACAAATAGTGCAATCAAAGCCTCCATTTTTAAATTTCAGGAAGCTATTACTAGAAAATGTTTAACTTCTTCCAAACCGATCAATTTTAGTTGCTTTTAACCATTTTTCCCTATGATTTTGTGGTTATTATGTTATATGACTTGAGACCCCTGCACAACAATACACATATGAGATACTTAAGGCATGTTTGATGTTTGCTACCCTTTTCTGAAAGAGTGGATTGTTTTCCATGAGGATAAAAAAGACATTACATGAAGTCTGTTTCTTTAGATGACCAATGGATAAACCTAGGCAAGAAGAGTAAATGGAAATAATTGGATGTCTCATTCCTTATGACTTAATCTTAGAACTCCTATGTGAATATTACCATCTGAGTACAGATTGAAGCTAAGCTGGTTAAAGATTCTGAAATTCAGGGTTTGCATACCTTTTTTATTCTCCAGTTTATTTCTTAATATTTCTTAGTGTATTAAATAATTTAAAAGATTTGCTATCACACCCTTAATATAAAAAAGGAAAACTCTAAAGGAATATAATGGGACAATATAGGCAGTGAAAGAATGACTATGAAAATTAAAATATTGTTGGGGTCATGGATTTAAAAGATGTGTAAGTATTCTCCACCAAACTTCCCAGCTTTCTTTATTTTCCTATGACACTGAACTTTTTAATCATGTTGAAGATTTTATTTATTTTTTTAATTTTAATCATGTTGAAGATTTTAGACCAAAACTTCTCTGTAATGATGCTGGAAAATATAAAAACTAAACATTTCCAGACGAGCCCACAGGCAATTCCAATACCCATGTATACAAACCTCATCTACTCTTTATAAGAGTAGTTTTCCTCAATGGATGAATACAGTGACACAATTTAAGTAAGTGTCTAAATTACCACCACTCTGGTTCACATAATATATCTTTTCAAAAAATCCTGAAAAGTTACTACAGGCACATTACCCACCAGGCTGTCAAGTCTGGAAACCATATGTTCAACTAGACCATAGAAAACATTACTACAGGTAGAGCATATGCTTGGCAAAGCCATGGATCACCATCTGGGCCCTGCTTCTTCCAGGAAGCTCCAGCTGGGTGACAGAATGGCATCTTTCCCATGGCAATGGTTCCCTTTGGGTCATCAGAGAATCAAAAGAGTATGGGTCATTTAAGGCTCAGACAGACCATGTGATCACCATGCGGACACATGGTATAGGTAGACGTTATGAATGGGCCAAGCCTGCTATTTCCTTCATGGCGTGTTCTTTGGCGTCCTTCAAGCATTCCCATTGTCCCAATTATGCCCCAACTAATTAATTATCTGTCTAGACTTAGTGGGACAAACGCAGGTGACCAGGAGTCAGCAATAACAGCCTATCCCCTGGTACTTCAATGTCTAGACAGCTGAGCCGAACTGGAACACATGAACACACAAGGCAGAATTAGTATGCAATCACACAGGGTTTATTTACCTATTCCTATTGGGTCCTAGGCTCCAGCAAAGGCCACCCGGTGATGCACACCGAGAGACGGACAACAAAGATGGAGACAGACAGGTGGCCACAGTTGGTTCAGGCTCGCACAGCAGAGCAGTCAATCAGGGGCTGGTCTCACGGAGTGACATGGAGTCCTCCTCTCATCAGGCCGGAGATGTCCACTGAAGAAAATCTGTTGCTTATATAGCCGGTGGTAAACAACTTGTGTCTTATCAGTGTGGGCCAGACGGTGTGCCTTGTGCTAGGAGCAAGCAGGGTGTTTATGTTTTAAGGGCTTAGGGCATTCACATCAAGATAGTGGGCGTTCACCACATTTTGGAAGTTACAGAGTATTGGGGTCTTCACACAGCAAACAGTTCACACATTAATTATTTCCACACATTAGAGGGGTTTCCTTATGAACATAACATTATTATAAAACCCATTCTCCAGCCCAGTTTGGAGATTGCTGGTCACTTTGACTTTACCTTTGTTTTTCAATGACACAATATTCAGGTTCCACAACTATTAGGAGTCCACTCTGTGCCTGTGCCTCGTTTGACCTTATGTAAGGTAAACCTATTTCCTTCCTAACCTTCTTAAAAGAGGTTTAACGGAATTTGGAGTTTTTCCTATTACAAAAATTCTTAGGTTTTTGTCAAAAGATATTTGAAATACCATATTGAAATTATGTACTCACATCCCTCACCACCACCTCCAAGTAACTGAATCACATAAATAAAACATTACATAGAAAGTGCTTTGCTACAATTTATGGGTGGTAAATTTAACAAGAGCTGGCTTCGTTGTAGGAAAATTCAACTTATCTTTTCCTGATCCTTTTATTCTATACAGAAAAAGAAATTTATGTCAGTTTTTTAAAAAATCTATTACTGCTTCTCATAACTGAATCCATTACTTTTCTCCGCGATCAATCAGGTAAAAACAAGAATAATACATTGCTTGGACAGAACCGTGAACATAAACATCTCCAAGAATCAAATGTAGAAAGTTAAATGGATTTCAGGTGGTATTAAAACAAGAAAGGATCATCTTTGTACATTTAAAAAATCAGATCTTACTAAAAAACGTATTATTATTAGCTGCTACAAAAAGATAAGTTATGTAGTATTTCATTGTTCACAATTAGACAGGATGACTTTCAATAATTGAACTTGTCCTATACATAGTCAACTGATTAAAAATATCAGTGGTTACCTTATTTTATAAATAATTTCTCTTCATAAAAGCATCAAGGGGATCTATAATAGTTAACTCCACATGACCCACTTTAGTTTCAGAAAAATTTGAGTTAATGTACACACACCTACTAT